AACTGACTTGAAGGAACAAACAAACAATCAAACAAACAAACTAAAAAAATCTATATATTTCCTGTTCACAGTAGGAATTATAGGAGTACTTGGGTAAGGGGGGAAAGGGAGAAGTTTATTAATGATCTGTAAATAAAATTCAATAAAACCATTCATTTCTGGTAGATATCCTTTTAGCAGATGAGCATATCTGGATGTCTAAAAACTTCCTATATGGGACATTTTCGCTCTCAGGTGCAAAGAATCAGAATTAGTCATGTAGATTGCAGCATAAATGATTTATTGAAGCCTATACACAGCTGTCATTGCTAAATTGGCCTTACATCAGTGTCAATGGAATTCAAAGGGCTGGACTTGGATGTCGTGTTTGCCAGTGCAGAGACTCTAAACTTATGATACATTTTACTCCACTTCCCGGCTGTGTTTGCTTTTGTCCTACAGTCAGAAAAGAATTCTTCAAGAGAAGAATTGATTCCTAGAGGTTCCCAAGGTCATTTTTACAAACACTTCTTCCTATCCTCAACGTGCTCTTTAGGGTAGTCCTGTAATTCCAGACATAGCATTAGCTTTAGCCACCTGCCACATGTATTTTCCAAGAATTTCTATTGAGCAGTTTAATTCCAGACGCACTCTTGAAAAAAATACTATTGGACGCTGATTCATTCTTTCACAACATATCAGTTTCCTATTCAATCATTTAATTAATATATTAATGATTTTGATTAAACCTAGATAGGTGTAGCATCAGTGATAAAGAGTTGATGGGACAATATTTTTATTTATATAAAATTGTGTATTTCGGTCTGCATGAATATCCACTACTGTAATTCTGGCTTCAAACAATTGTCCTATTTTTAATAAATCCTTTTAAAAAAAGTACTGCATTATATTTCCCCAGTGTAGGCATTCTAATTGTTTGTTGTTGTTGTTTTGTAGCAAAAGTGTATATGTCACTTGCATTTGAATATAGATTCAGCTTCAGGGGAGGAGTATAAGCTGGCAGCAGACTCACTTTACGTCATACCTTCTCATTACCCACATGCATAAATCTTTTGGGAGAGCAGAGGGACACTTGAAAAGATGTTTCATTGCTCAACTGGGTAACATCATCAGTGCTGTAGGAGAGTGGGGTTTGCTCTCAGTTTATATACAAGTGGCTTCCTCTGGCTCACCAATGACTTTCTGCCCCACTCTCTTCTGGCACTGATGATGTTTTGTAGATACGTGGTGAAGTGTCTGCTGGGAGGCAACCAAATTCAGAGAGCACCAAGGACCTTGAAGAAGAAGCACTTGACCAGTTTGAAAGCTTGCCTCCAGAAGTTGTGGGTGCTCCATTGTTGGAGGTTTTTAAGAAGAGATTGCACAACAATTTGTCTGAAATGATATAGGGTCTCCTGCTTGAGCAAGGAGTTGGACTAAAAGACCTCCAAGGTCCATTCCAATTCTTTTATTCTGTTATTCAGAAGCAGCAAAGCAGTATTTGTTTCATTATACTTAGCATCTGTTCTTGAGGAATTCCAAATGAGAGTTTGGGAATCATTAGCTAATCAGTGATAGTATTATTACAGGCTTCATTGCTTTTGATTTCTTTTTACATGTTATAATTTTGAGGTCTTTAGGCAGTTAGATGTCCAGCAAAAATATGCAGAGTTAAATATTCAAATATGGATAAGGATTTGGATTTTTAAAATTACTTTTATTGCTCTGTTTTTGATGTCTAGAAGGAATTGAACTGGGAAATAGGATGGAGAACTCTGATCAAGAAGCATATACATTATATATTCCACCTAAATCTTCCATAATTCACACATAAACAGACCTGCAAATATGCAGAAGTATTTTTTTAATAAGTATATGAGAAAAAATGGAGATTGGATGCCACAATATAAAGGAATATATATACAGTATACCATTATGGCAGAGTGTCATTGGAGCAAAAACATTGGAAATTGGGAATAAAACAACTGATATAATTACATTTTAATGTAAGATATAGTGTGGTCATATGTATAAAATTCTGTATATTTCTGATAATTTGAAAAGAATATGTGGAGCCAAAAAACCCCCACACATGGACACACACACAAATACAAACCACGTTCAACTCTCTGAGATATTCCATTGTACATCCCTTTCTTTTATCTAAAAACATTTGGGTTTTTTAATAATTAAAAATAATGATTTTTAAAAGGGAAATAATATTGGTTAAATTATGGCCATCTGGGGAAATAAATGACAGCACATTAAACATTCGCAAAAATAGGCATTCCTTCACACAGTGCACAACAATATTTGCACAGCTTGTGTAGCTTTATAAAAGAATTAGAAAATAACTTTTCTGAGCATATTCCCACATTTGGGACAATTAATGGTCTGAAAGCCTCTAATGGCCCATTAACACTTTTTTATGGATCTTGAATACTAAAATAATAATAATCATATAAAAATCACCCCTCGGTTTCAAAAAGTCCACTTTGGTTTTGGAACATTGCCTTTATTCAAATGTTTGGTTGCATTAGTTGATGGAAATATGCATCAAAGAATACAGACTTATGGTCTTGGTTTGAACATAAAAATAAAGCTGATTAAAATGTTTAACAATCTCATAAATTGCATGCTGTTAGGTAAGAATAATATACCTGCACAGGAATATAATTATTTGTATTCCTTTTTTATGTCCCAAAGGTGCTTTAAAAAAGGAAACTGGATTTTCTTGGTTTTTCTTGAAGACATTTTACTTCTTATCTTAGTCAGTTTCTGGAGGAAAATTAAAACATCTTCAAGAAAAACTAAGAAAGTCCAGTGGCCCTTTTAAAAGCACCTTTGGGACGACCGTGACATCAGAGAACTCCATAGAGACGTTCCATTTTTATATTACATTTTCCGTTATGACTAGAAACATGTTTCTTGAAAGTTCATTTCCTGTACTGAACATCTTGAAGTGCAATAAAAATATATGGTGTTTAAGCAGGACAGGGAGATAGTGTAGTGAAAATATTTTTTTTTTATTTCACTTACTTTTCTCCTTCCCAAGTAAAATATCTGAGAGCTGAGTTTTTGCTTGGGTGCTGTGTGTGGCCAAATAAATTTAAAAGACCCAGTATCACACTATCCAATAAATACTCAGTGTAGCAATAATCTTTGCTTATATAAAACGTCATAGTTGAAACTATGGTGCCCTGTTGTCTTTCTGCCAGTTACAATTGGATTTTCAGTCCTGATCAAGGCATGAATAGTCCTGTCTAAAAAGGGCTTGAAAAAGATTATGATCATTGTACATAATGGTTAATGGTGCAGGTCTCTTTTACTCCAATAAAATAGGTATTATATAAATGCCCACAACTGTATAACATCAGTTGTTTTGTCCTCCCAAAGTTAGATAAGTATGCAGAATATAAGATCAAATCAATTGTGATTATTAGAGGCTTAAACAAACTTTGGAAAGAGAAGATCAAATCTCTTGAATTTATATGCTTATATAAAATTGTGCTTTGCAAGGAAGTCTGATAGCTTACATAACTTTTTTTAAAAAAAAACATGCTGCAGAGATATAGTGACTAACTGCCCCATAATATTTTTGAAATATCCTGATTTTTCCAGGACATAGTTTACTAAGACCTTGGATTATTTCTAAAAGGTGATCCACTGTAAAAAGGAGCAGCACAATCAATAGGCCCTGCTTTTGTTTTCCTCCTTATCTATGGAGGGTGAATCTGCAATCCATGTGAAATAACCAGAAATTGCTTATGAATGACTGATAGTGAAAGATGTTGGTGTTGCAGTTCTACAATATTTACCCATGGAAGATGATTGTTGTGGTGTTTTTGTAAATTGTATTGATAATATTCTATTTTAGGGACAGGAATCATAAGATTGCAACATCTAAAGCCAAGTTTATTATACATTTAGAGGCTGTATAGTAATGAATAGTATGATGGAAGCATGCTCTTAGCTATCTATATATCCTTTAGTGTAAATAAGGACTGAGCCAAATCGCTTGTGATGCTCTCCTCATTTGTTTAGAAGGGGAAAATATTATTCTGAATCATCCAGGAACTTTAGATACATCATGCCAGTCACTGTCACTTTATAAAAGATCGGTGTGATTGGTTTTGGTTAAAATATCTTCCTTTGACTGACTGTTGAATTTTATAAATAAGTGAGGGAGTATTCAGAACTTCATATTGTTTGTTCAAGGAAGTTGGGTGCTTAAAAAAAGGGAGTATAATCCAACCCAGGGTTGTATATAACCCATTAAAGCTTTGAGTCATTGCCCCAAAGCTTCTCAAAAAATTATAATCACATTACAAGTAGTCCTTGATTTATGGCTGTAATGGAGTCTGGAATTTCCATCATAAGTGATGGTGGTTGTAAGTTGAGGCTTATGTGACTAATGTTATGATCTTTTTCATGGTAGTTATTAAGCGAACATTGTGGTCATTAAGTGTATCAGTGCATTTGCATGGGCATTTTTTGCTGGAAACCATCTGGGAAAATTGGTTTCTGAGGGAAAACTGTCATAAATCATCCCACAAAATCACAAAATGCTGCAACTGGCCCTAAAAGCTAGTTGGTTTCTAAATATCCAAGTGTGTTCGTTCATGTGACTGCAGGATGTGTGTGTGTAGAGGAATCTGTTGTAATTTTAAACAGTAGCTATACCGGAATAATTAATGTAACTTTGAACAATTGCTAAGTTAAATTGATGCAACAGAAGGGGAGAATTATTAAATACACAAAGTAGTATATTAATTGAATTTAACTTATTTTTTTTAATTCTGCCATCACCCTCTGATTGCTTAGATCCTATAACGCGGGATTTCTGGCCTTTGAGCAATGTATTCTTCCATTGATTTCATTAGATAACTAATTGGGACTTTTTTGTATCCTGCAGGTTGGATATTATAACCATTTAGTTTCCAAATAAGAACAGTATGAGTCTCTCCCTTTGTTGGAAAAGTCATGCCTCACTGTTTCTTTTTGTTTTTATCTCCTCAGATATGCCACTTCATGTACGGCGCAGCAGTGACCCAGCATTAGTGGGCCTCTCCTTATCAGTCAGCGATACCAATTTTACTTCAGAAGAACCTTCACGAAAAAACCCCACAAGATGGTCCACAACAGCAGGCTTTCTGAAGCAGAATCCTTCTGGTGGCACAAGAAGTCATGAGCGCAAGGTATTACATTTTTTTTTCTGCTAGAAAAATGACATTCTTGAATGTTTCAGCATGGTTGCTTCATTTGGGCAACTCATGCTTCAACTTACACTGAACTGTCAGTTTTAAATTGGCTTGCTTATCTTCTCATACTGCTCTAATCGCCAAACTGCTAATCTTTTTACATTGCTCTAATCGCCAAATTGCATCACAGAAAGCTCAGGAATTGGGTTATTTGAGGCTTGATTCAACCGTTGACAGACAAGCTCTCATCAATTCTAGATTTGCTTCATGGCGTACTAGGTTGAAAATAGACTGTAGACAACCTACCTGGTTAACAGAAGTCTTTATAAATTACACCAAGATTTCTTAGTCTTCACATGTGGCAGAAATTGATCGGAGTTTTTGTTCAATTACTTTGACATAGAAATTTTGTATGTGTTCGTGTGCACGCACACAGAATCTGTGTTATTGAGGAAAAACTCCAATCAATTACTGCCACATCTATATATAACATCTATATATACAGTATATATATATATATATATATATATATATATATATATATATATATATATATATATACACACACACACACACACAATTACTGCCACACACACACACAAATTACTGCCACACACACACACACACACACACACACACAAACACAATTTTTCATTATCTCTAAACTTCAGAGTTGACTACCTGATGGTCATAATACTGCTTTTTTTTAAATATTCCTTTATTATATTGAAAATGCTGTATTAATTTGGAGAAGATGTGATGTAGTTGAATATTTTTTTATTTTGCCTTGTGTGATTTTAGGTTTATAAGCATAGTTGCTTGTTCAAGTGCATATTCTCACATATGAGAGTATTTAGGTACATCCATTTTTCTCTCTCTCTATTCTGTTGCACACATGAATTTATTTTTTTTTACAAGCAAAGTGAAATCCACATTTGGTGCCCTCCAAATGCATTGTGGTAATTTTCTCCATAATTCCTAAACAGGATGGCTTGTTAGTTATGAACACTGAAATGAATACCGCAGTCTTGCAAAAGGATGAATATAAGATTTTTCTTAGGTTATTTTACTCAAAAATATGGACCCTAGAATGTTATTGCTTTCACAGTGATTCTGGATTTCTACTATTCTAACAAGGTGGTATCATTTAATTGCAGAAGTCCTTTTGTACCTTTCTCTAGAGAACAATGAACAGATACATATAATAAGGCTACTAATTTAATGGCATCATTTAAACTTCCAAGAAATACGGACACCCAACGGGTGATATTATTCCCACCCATCATAATTTTTCTGGGTTCAGTATCTCCAGATAAACAATGAAATTGATGACTAAAGGAAGCGGTATGAAGCATTTTTTCCTGTATATTTTTATTCTTAAATGGAACATCAAAGACATGTTTTTCATTTTTGTTTAGTCCCTCTGCAATTTCTTCCTTGACCTAATTCTGTCTGTAAAAGTATTTTTCTTTAGCAACGTGATATTATTTCAATTTCAAAGCACAGTTATAGGAACCCAGGCAAAACAAAGACTGCAAGTTAATTGGTTAATTAATGAAATTTTTATACACATGCTGACACTGCATTTAAAAATAATGAAAGAAAATGAATACACACATGCACAAGTACCCCTAAGTAGATAAGGTTCAATATCACATGTATTTTATTTACACTGACAGCTGAGTGGATTGGGTTGTTGAAAAGATGGAGGAAAGCATTTTTTAAATTTAGAATCCTTATTTTTATCTTTTATTCTCTATCTACCCTTATCATTTCTCTTATAATACATGCTTTTGTTCTTGTGATTATTGGTTTTTTTTTTCAGTCCATAGACATAAGCTTTAATACTCCCATTTCTTCTTTGTAAACCTGTAATATGAGAGAGCACCTAAATAGTTAAATCCTTTATTATAAAGTAGTTACTCCACAGTAATATATGTTTTTCAATAGTTGTGTTAGACTATATTTTAGTTGTGCCTATACCTGAGTTCCCTATTTTTTCCTATAAATAATTTTGTGTACTAAAATATTTTGATGTCTTCCATTTGTCCTTTGTGCCCTGTGCAAAAACCTGTCATCAGGTTTCCTGCTTTAATTTCAAACCCAAAGTAAAAATGTAAAGAGGTTTCTTGCTATGTTCACTGCAAAAGAAAAATCTGTAGCTAATGTTAACACTTTTTTTAAAAGAAGAAAACTGCTGTAGTAGAAAGATGTCTCTTGAGCATTCTTGATTGGCACTTTGTCTGGAAAATTTTCCTTGTACACCTGTAGTCTCTTAATATCCCATATGTCCAATATGCTGTACACTTTTGTGAATTGAACATTATAATTGCAGACTCTCCTACCACTTGCTAAATTAATCCTATAAGCAAAGGAATGTCCAATTGTGCCTGGACCAAAACTTACTTCAATCCAATCCTAACCTAAGTTTCAAATGTTCTAAGATTCACAATAAATAGATATTATAGGAATTCAATAAATGACCCAAACAAGAATGATTGGGTCATTTAAGACACTTCTATTTTTGGAAGCTCTATAGAACCTCTAGAATATCTTAGGTTTAGTGAACCTATTTTGTCTTAAAGGGAATAGGGAAGACCCTAATGTAGAGTCTCAGTAATAATCCTTCTCTACAATGAAAAATTAAGATTTTTTTTTTGAAAGAGAGATAACCAGAAAAACCAAGTGCTTTATAATAGACTAAGACAGTGATGGCGAACCTTTTAGAGACCAAGTGCCCAAACTGCAACCCAAAACACACTTATGCATCGTCCGGTGCCGGATGGGCGTGGCCTATTGGGTGGGCGTGGCTGCGGTGGTAACGGCAGACTGGGTGGGACTAAAAAGTTCAATCAATCAATTCCAACTTTTGCAAGATCTTTTTTTTTTCCGTGAGAAGTTGAAATTGACTGATTGATTGAACCTTTTTTTTTGTACACGGCGGCGGAGGTCTAAAGCGAAAAGGTTTTATAAAACCCAGCTGAAGACCTAGGACTGGGGTGACGGTGCGCGTGCCCACAGAGAGGGCTCTGAGTGCCACCTCAAGCAAAAACAAAGAAAGTCCAGTTGCCTTTTGAAAAAGCACCCTTGGTTGTCCCAAGGGTGCTTTTTCAAAAGGCAACTGGACTTTCTTTGTTTTTGCTTGAAGATGTTTCACTTCTCATCCAAGGCTTCAATTCTGACTGAATGGTGGAGAATCAATCAGAAGAAACAAAAACAAAGCAAGTCCATTTGCCTTTGAAAAAGCACCTTTAGGTTCCAAAAGACATGATGAGTATTTTCTGATTAATCCACTTATGAATTGGGAAGTCTCAGAGGCACAGAGTTTTGTGTTTTGAGTGCAAAAGTACTATAGTTGATTGTGAAGTACAATTTCTTTAATTGTACAAATTTGGATTGTTTATAGATTTATCAAGTATTTGTATTCATATGGATAACATGTTATTCAAGCACTTATATGAAATTGATTAAGGAACTCTTGGATTATCAATGCAAATTTGAAATGTTACCTGGATCAAGTATATGCATTTAAAATTATAAAGTAGAAGTTTTGGTCTCTTACAAATCTTCAGGGGCATGAAAAATAGCAGTAAAGTCACATAATCCCTTGACACATTCCACATTGGTAAACATAGTCTATACTAAGTTCTAATAATTTAGTGACAAACTTTCATAAGGAATATAATAATAATAATAATAATAATAATAATAATAATAATAATAATAATAATAATAATAATAATAATAGTAATAATAATAATAATAATAAAGTTGGAAGGGACCTTGGAGGTCATCGAGTCCAACCCCCTGCTCAGGCAGGAACCCTACACCATTTCAGACAAATGGCTGTCCAATCTCTTCTTAAAAACTTCCAGTGTTGGAGCATTCACCGCTTCTGGAGGCAGGTTGTTCCATTGGTTAATTGTTCTCACTGTCAGGAAGTTTCTCCTTAGTTCTAAGTTTCTGCTTAGTTCGTTAAACTAGACATACCCAATTCCAGCAACCATTCCTTATATGTTTTAGCCTCCAGTCCCCTAATCATCTTTGTTGCTCTTCTCTGTACTCTTTCTAGAGTCTCAGCATCTTTTTTACATCGTAGTGACCAAAACTGGATGCAGTATTCCAAGTGTGGCCTTACTAAGGCATTGTAAAGTGGTATTAATACTTCACGTGATCTTGATTCTATCCCTCTGTTAATGCAGCCCAGCACTGTGTTGGCTTTTTTGGCAGCTGCAGCACACTGCTGGCTCATATTTAAGTGATTGTCCACTAGGACTC